AATTTCTTCGGACAGAGTCCTTCAACACAGGCCGAAAAATACCTGCCGTCTATTTTTGCTACCAAAACCAGGCACATATCCCCTTTGTATATTTTTTATTAGATATGGTTAGATTCTTCTCTATTTTTGGTATCATATGCTCTGATTTGGTTGAGTTTTTATCTGAAAAGCGACTATTCGTGAATTGGTAAGCACAAAATTTTGCCCATCTTTGGGTTCTGCTATTTGGATCATGAGTTTATCAACATAGTTCGGTTCTTAGGGTCTTCGACCCTTTTGGGCCCACTTCCATATCGAATTAAAGTGTGTAGTGAAGAGATTGAGAGGCCATTCCCACCAGAAGACGACGGTGGATTCCTCTTGACCAGCCTTACTGGAACATTCTTGGTGAAGCTGTTTCTGATTCCGGTTGAAACATGCTAAGCTTTCGTCTGCCGTATGATGCACATATATGTATCATATCTCTATACCTTTTGCTGAGATGTTAAGCGATTTGGCCAGGTCAAGTCATGTGCCAATCTCAAGCTTGTGCGTGGGTGCGTCTATTTGTGTCTGATTATGTGCCTGAATGTGTTGGTGTATGTACCAACGAAAGGGGATAGATCAACGCAACCAGAGAAGGACGTAACGTCTGTTTTCGATCGTCTTAACCATCACTCCGATTGCACAAGGTTGTGCCCTCGTCTGGTATGATTGATGAGATTTTCCTTCGTGTGAGAGAGAAAGATTGGACGAAGATGTACAGGAAAGTAACCGTAACTGGAACCATCACAATGAAAGGCTACAGTAACTTGGTTGTGATGAGTCTCTTAGGAAAGCATTGTTGGGGAAAGTTCCATTTCAAAGTGAATGACAAAGAGATTCATTTATTAATCTCTCCGGAAGACGACGCCCGATTCGCGTCGTTTTGCAGCCGTTCGGCTTCACTATGGCGTTCAGGTTGAAGCAATACACGATACATCCTCTCTTGTTTCGCGTGAACACGGGCTGAGCTTTCGTCCATCAAATGATGGGCATCATCCAGGCTGAAAATCACTCTTGTAAAAGTCTCGAATAAACACCAAGTCAACAAGACTGTCAGGCCTTAATTTACCTCTCATGCATACTCTTAACTGAAAAAACGAAAATGTAGACAAGATAATTTGGCTACTTCTCTTTCATGTTGGTCATGGTATTTTTTCCTGAATCTGTTTGTGTCATTAAAAAAGCCCAATTTCAAGCTCGAGTTGTCAAGGCTTAATGACCCAAAAAACCCTAACCAAGGTTGCGTTAGTTAATAAGTGACTGAACGATGTAAGCTTGTTAGTCGGAACCCGTCGGTCTGGGGTATTTAGGGTTTAACGACCCAAGGAAAGGCATGACTGGCACGTCTGGTTTGGCTGATGAGCTTAATCTTACATGTTGGACGAGTGGACAAGTTGAGTCGTCTTCTTTTGGGTGGTGGTTATTTACCCTTTCTCTCCTCAATTCTATCAAGCAAGCAAAAGCAGTTTCTACTCAACTCTATACCACCGTTCCTCACATTCAATTTCGCATATCTTCTCTTTGAGAGCAGATGCACCATAATCAACCAACCTACTTGTTTGCGATCATTCTATCTCATGTTCAGTCTCTGGCTTGCGTGTTCGGCCACTTTGGATGCGACTGTCTTTACAGGCATTTTCGTATCCACCCAATGTTTGGCGAATATGCCGACTGTTCCACCTGTCGACGACGAAAACACACAACCTTTTAGCATCCGGATCTCTATGCTTGGGCATATTTCTTTCTAAAAGCTGGCTTTACCGAAGAAAGTGGAAGCTATAACCATTATAAGACCTATTAGCATATCCATAAGGTGTGCTCTCTTCACATTTGAAGGTAACTTTTATGAAAAGACGTAAGGACTGGAAATGGGTTCTTGAGCACTTTAACGAGCGATTGATGCAATAGGCAATTTTGATTCCCAAATTGGTTGCCTGATAAGTGGATGACTAGTTTGCTAAGGGCAGGTTAGATATTTTCATAATTTCACTTACTCATTGTGAAAGTTGTCATTATTATTGAGCTTACTTCCATTTCGAGTGAAAGTGTTGGGTGAAGAGATTCCAAAGTCAGTACCACCAGAAGAAGACGGCGAATTCCTCTTGACTTTACTGGAAGATTCATGTTGACGCTGTTTCCGAGGCAATCTCCCTCGATTCCAGTGAAAAGGTGCTAAGCTTTCGTGCGTCATATGACGGACATCATCAGAGCGAAGTAACATCGCCACAACAAAATTCAAGCCAACGAGTCAAGAAAACTGACCGGCAAATCTCTAAAAAGTGGTATCTACATCAGGCCTCTTTCATCAAGTAAAAGTGATTTGGTTAGTTACGGTCATATGTCAACTTCAATGCATGTGATGACTCAGAGTAATGAGGACAGCAAAAAGGAACGTCTGTTTTTGGCCATCAAGGTTTGATGATCCCTATTTCCCTCTTTCTACATTTAAGTTGTAACCATCACTCCGATTGCGCAAGATCGGACACTCGTCTGGTTTTGTTGATGAGCCTATTTTTTGTTTTCGGTCTCGATGCGAGAGAGAAAAAGTGAGCTAAAAGTACAGAGAATCGGCTATCATTAGCCGGAATATGGTTGAATGTGTATACTACCAACTGGCTGATGATGTCCGTCGTACAATTGACGAAAGCTTAGCAGGTTCTCCTCGGAATCGAATGAGATTGCCTCGAAAGGATATCCAACCAATTGACGCGATGCTTCACTAAATGCAGGGATTGCAGCCGGCTGCCTTCCTCGTCTTTGTGCTTAGTGTTCTGCTGTGACGATGTCCGTCACATGACTGACGAAGACTCAACAAGGATTGATCGGGATCGCAGAGTGATACAGCTTCCGATGACGCTAACCTACGAATCCTTTCCACTCATCTCTTCAAATGACATGAAAGGTACTCCAGCATCACTCAATTGAGGGATTTCTAGGAACTCATCTTTTCTACATTTCTGCACACATTCTTGCTTAACCTGTCTCCTGTTCTCATCACCACAACCTCGTTTCGGCAACTTTGTCACGATGGCGAGGCGACTCACATGGACCCACTTCGTTCGGAGTCCTCTGCCGTGGGAGTCATGACGTTGGAGCGTGGATTTGGTACATTTCCAGATGCCTCGCTGGCATCGGCAGTGAGTCTTGCCGTTCTCAGCACCAAGCTACAGCTCGCCAAAGGGATCTGTATTTCGTCTGTCTCAAGGCGTGTAGCTTTGTGCTAAGAATGGCGAGACGTCTGATGCTGTATCTAGTCCTGGCGGCAACACCGTAAATCACTGCGGCAGAAGACTCAGGACAAGGTATGTTCATCTAGGCCGCCCTGGCAACATGATCAGGTTGCTAAGTCAAGCCACTTCCATCTCCCATACAGCCTGACCCTTCAAATTCTCAAAGCTGGTGAACTTGCTGTCTTGACTGCAATATATTTGTGATGGGAGCCTATGATTTATATCCAAAGTTAATGGTTGGAAAGTTATAACTCTGGAAGGTAATGCATAGGCACCAAATTTCCCATTCGCAAAAGCCAGATCAAGCGGAAACAAATCCCTGTAGGCATGACGACTTTCTTTTGGTCACAGATTCGTTCTGCTGAGGATGCAGTACGAAGTGTACACTTCGAAACCGCTCCAACAGCACAACTACATTTGCAAAGACAGGTCGGACAGCTCTTCGACAAATGAACATGTAAGTTGGGAGTTGTATTTGTGAATCTGGATCGAGATGCTATCGCAGATCTGGATGCCATTCTGCGCCCGCCGGGGCAGTTAAGCCAGATGTGGTCGTGTAGGAGGCATACCTAATTTCTAAATGCTCTCTCTTGCTCTCTTCTTCCTCATCAGCTCGCTGTGCAAGGATCTCCTGGAAATGTCCAATCTGATTGACCTGGAGCGAAAAATGGCGCTCTACCGATGCATGTTCGCCTGCAACGTTGCCCCAGACGGTGACCCCAACTACATCAAGCAGGAGGCGCTCAAGATCGAGCTGATGGCCGGCGGCCTAACCTGGGAACAGCAAGGTTTTGTCCTGAACAGGATACCGACAAACGACTATCTGGAGGTGAGCACTTGCCGTGATGCTCTCCATGAAGTCCCATGTCGACGGGACAGACAGGGCTCCGCAGGAGCATCGTCGTAGTTCACGCTGGAGACTTCTTGCTTCCGGTAGGGTTTCACAACCGGCAGCCGACTCGAAACCCTCCGTCTCGGTGCGCCAGGCAGAGTTCTGGGCGAAGAGAACGAGGCGGACTCATCGTGAAGGTTGGGCCGTCTCTCACAAGAAACGACGAGAAGACGAAGAAGGAT